TTCTTTCCTTTACTACTTAGTGAATCGCAGTCCTAGGACTAGAATCAGTATATCCGCTGTCCGACCAGCTTTATTTGCACTTCAGTTACTCACCAGTTAGCGAAATCTATAGATGAGAATGATAACCCTTATACCTGAAACTTCAAAAACCAGTTAGAAATGCTAGCTCCCGTTTTACTTTCCTGAGAGGTTCCTCCTAATTAACTCTGGCAAGAACGGTATGTAATTTGCCTTCCTTCAGCATTGCTTACTTTCAGTCTGTGCAGCTTTATAGCACATGGCAGGCAGGTTTGTATGCAGATTATTTTCATATCTTCTGTCAAACAATAGAAAAACAAAGTGAAAATAAACCTTAATTATAAACGGAGTAGTAAGCATTGAACAGAAATTGCAATTACATTTAAATCAAAATATAATGGCTACCACATTGTTTTCAGTAATGTATGAGGTATACCATTTTGCTTAATTCATTTTCGTTTGGGTTTATTGAAGTAAGACTAATTGTTGTTGTTTTGTCAATGTAAGGAGCAAATCATTGTCAGGAGCATAAAACCATCATTTGCCTGACCTTTGGTGCCCTATGAAGAATAACTGCTTTCTATGCTGTCTGCAGTATTGACTGGCAGCCTTTCCAAATGGCCAGGCAGTATTTTTAAAGTCATAATTGTATTATATTTTAATAGTCAATGCTTGTAATTAAAACAGTGACAGCTGAATGTGCTTGTCATTAAATTATCATTAGCGGTGAGGTGCACACAAGCTTGTTAAATGTTCCCTGCATGGGAGAAAGATTAATGCACTTCCGGCAGAAATTCTGCCTGATTTAATATTTCTGTTGTCCTATGTTCGAAATATCTAGATGGTGGGTAAGAGTAACTGGCAGGCAGAACATAGGAATATTACTGTGTTTATCTGTATTCATTTTGTGAGGCCGTCGGGCTTATTTTATAACATAGTCCAAAAAGCAGCGAGCACAGCAACAAATCAGATATTTGCTTTCAGCAGTTTCCTGGTGAGTAGACTGACATCTGATTTGTGATTAACTGCCATGCAGATTGCTGTTTGTTTGTTACATAAACCAGTATTAACTGGTTTCCATTCCAGTGTATATTCTGGCATTTGGAAAAAATACATTATATCTTTTATAATAAATTTCTTTATGTGGCAAAAAGATTTTATAACTATACACCACTAAATCACAACGCTTGTCTTTTAGGATTGTAACATTGCTCCTCTTAAATCATTATGTGTTTTTTATTCTTCTCTTTCTTTCTGTTTTTCTCTATTTCTCTGCTTTTTAAAGGTTATTTTTTATATTTTTATATATGTCCTGGAAGTGGGGTGTTTGTTTGGAACCTTTGAGACAGCTCTAACCATAGCATTCAAGAGAAAAAAGCAGCATTAATTATAGTCCAGATTGATGGATGCAAGTTTCAAAGGTTACACGCGTCAGTCAAAATAAGCACAGGAAGCTCACGCTTCCTGCCTGGGAGTATCAGGCCAATTTGTTAGTTTGGTAAAACTACTAAAATTCACTTAAGTTTGTTTCCACATTAATCATGAGCTTTGGCTGGTTGGAAAAGGTAAAATTATTATTATTATACAGGATTTATATGGCGCCAACAGTTTGCCCAGTGCTTTACAATATAAGGAAGACATTGCAATCACAATACAATTCAAGACAAGATGGTAAGGAGGGTCCTGCCCCTGAGAGCTTAAAATGTAAAAGTTTTATAAAAAATGTTAAAAAAAGTAGCACCTCGAGGACTATATGGGACAAAAGAGAGGGTATTCCAACTGGCACCCAGACCCTGATTTAAACCACTGTCTGATAAATCATATCTCGTCATAACATCATGTGTTTGCTGTCACAGCTAATTCTATTGCAACCTATTATCCTGCTGCAGCCTTAGTAAATGGGGAGCTTCGTGAAGGCAAAAAGAATTTCCATAATTAACTAAAACCTCCTGTAACGGAACAGCCCAATGCAGTGTCTATATTACTTATCTACCTCCATCACAGTATTGTACCCCATAATCACAGGTGTGCTTTAACCTTATTGGGATGAAGGGAGGGTAAGGATTCAACCAATCATACTCCGCCTGTTATTTTTCCAGAGTAGGTTAACATATAAATATTTTGTGAATTAGTTGCTAAGTGCAGTACCTCCGCTTGCCCTTCCCTTTGCTTTTTAAAAAGGAGAGCCATTGTGAATTCTTTGGCATGACTTCTAGCTGCAACAATGGATTAATTGTAAAGCATACTTGTTATCAGATAGGTGAGATCTAGTTACAGCTAAAACATTTCCGTAATTGTCATATTTGTCATTTTCATTCAGTGTGAAATTCCTCTAAATGCAAAAAAATTATTTCTTTCACATTTCTACGTCGTATCAGTAACTGGAGAATAAATCACATTAATCTTCTTGAAATTGTTTCAATGGTTAGTTAATTTAGGACTGGGTAATTCAATTGTTATCTATCTGTATTGGCAACAACAATCTATATGAAAGAACGAGGTAGTTAAAAGTTATACTTTGCTGGAAAGCCAAAGGTCACTGCATTAAAACCTGCAGTAGTTTTGTGTGAGTAATTGTCCTACATCATTTTACTAATGTCTTGCTGTTAATGAAAATTAAAAAGCTCATGCTGTTTGATTTACTGCTTTGTTTTAAATTGTCATTTTAAGCTAACAGCTATGCCAGATTTTCAAAGCGAATTGGAATCCCCAGTGTTTTGGTCAAAAATATTGTGAGCCTTGGACTTTTTACACCTTAGGACTGCTTTTGTAGAATAGCTTTTACATAGTATGTGATTAAATCTGTTGTGTTTAGAACAGTTTAGAGTGACATTTTGTAATAGATTCTGTATAAGGCTGCTGCCACGAGATAATGACGGAGCAGCAGCCAAAGTTTAGGTTAGTAGGTGGTAAGTGCTTGTAAAGTGCAAGTTTGAAGTCTTACTTGTCTGCAAAGAAATGTGACTGTGAATGGCGGAAATAGCACGCAAGGAGATATTAAAAGTCTGCAAGAGCAGACAAATAGTGTTACAAAACAAGGTACAACTGGAAACTGATTAACAGAGCACCAATAAATAGAAATATTATAAATCATTTAGGAGTCACTAATAATAAAAAATGTGGATTGTGCATTTTTTTTCCTCTAACTGTAGTATCCGAGGACAAGTAACAATTCACATTTATATAAAGTGGAATTGCAAGCACAGATCTGTTGAATTAAGGCGCAGAGTTCTAGATCAACGATGCAGCAAAGCTCAAGAAAACAGACCATTGCTATTGTTGCTGTTGAGTTTTTTTTGGTACCTTAAATAGAACCACTCACTATTGGGCTTATTCAGTTGGGTTTAAATAATTATAATCGGTCAAGTTTATTCATGAATGATTTATATTCATTCCCTGAGACATTCAGACAACTGTTTACTTGTCAACTACCTGACCTAACTCTAATAACACAGGTTTTTTTCCCCAACTACTGAGTGTGCATAACAATATCAACTAAGAAATGCAGGTTTGTTAACATTCCCTTTTACCATGTTATTTGATAACCGTGTATTATCATCATTTGTTCAAACATTTGAAATAGAATAAACAATTGAGTTGATACCCTTAATTCAAAATGAATACCATATTACAAATAAATGGGCACTGACACTCTAAAGCCACTTAAAGTTGCATAAAATGATTTTGTTTTATTATTATCTTTGTATAGAAAAACATAAAAGTTAATATTAACACATTGGGGTTGATTTACTAACCTTATAAACACACCACGAACATGTATACACCTCTGTAGGGTGTTCCCTCCCAGCATGATCTATGGGTGGAATCTAAACACCTTTGTAGTGTGTACACACCCAGCAGGTGTGTTGTGCATGAATTGCAAGGTGATGTTGTGTAAATTAGCTCTATGTTGTGTTGCTTGCGTTGATGAATGCAGGAATGTAAATGCATGAGCTAACCATTTTTGTCTAAACTGTGAAGCAGCATTATATATGCATCATGTGCATGATTTTTCCATATATGGCATTAGTGGAAATATGCTTTTAGAGACTTTTTGGTTGATAAATACGTTTTGCTGTGTGAAAATCACACGCACCTGGTGCGTGCGTGTGTTTAGGTTAGTAAATCACCCCCATTGACTCAATAAAACATCCACATTTATGGGTGAACACTACCTCCAATGACCACGTATGTGACTATGTCAAGATTTTATAATCAATGCACTTGTTACAGATAGCATCAAACGGGATGTCATCACTGTGTTTCCAGATTTGCTGTCCAAACTTTTCTGCAGAAGCACAAGGAAACAGACAACAATGGAGACCAAAAACGCAGTGTGAGGAATTTATCAAAACTAGAGCAGACAGAATCTGGAGCAGTTGCCTAGGGTAAGCAATCCGTTTCTCTCTTCAGTTTATTCGGTTAAGCTTTGAAAATGAAAGAGAGAAGCTGATTGGTTACCATGGGCAACTGCTCCAGATTTTCTCTGCTCCAGCTTTGATAAATTCCCTTCAATGTGTACAAAATAGTATACAGAACCATGAGGATTGTTACAGATGCTTAATCATACACAAACACACACATATATGTTGAACTGGATGCACCTGTTTTTTTCAACTTTATCAATTATGTAATTATGTAACTAAAGTGTCTTAGTCAATAGAAGTGACTGTGTTGTTTTCATCATTATAATGTAGACGTAACACATTGGTTAATTCAGAAAAGAGATCAGCTCATATTAATAGTGTAAGTGCTACTATTTTACCACATTATGCCCAGGCACCCCCTTTTTCACATCTGATTGCATAAGCTCAGTATTGTTTAAACATTTTTCTTTTTTAGTCTGTAAATATTTGTTAGACTGAGCATAGATATTCTTCAAAGGATTCCCTCTTCCCTACTAATTTGAAAGGTTTCCAGGTGCCAAAGCATTATTGGCATGTTTGATACACAGTGATTCCAGTATGTTTATTCTTCCACAGGTGGCCCTTGTAAAATGGACAGAAAGTGTCGGACTTACTCTTGTCAACAGAGATTTGAACTCTATGCAACTTAAAACCCCCAGTGGACAGATCCTAACATTCTTCATTCTCCAGATCTTTCCATTTACTTCTGAGAGCAAACGGATGGGAATCATAGTGAGGGTAAGATTCGTTTAGCTGCTAATAAATACAGATAATGAGAACTGTTTTATTGTGAAAACTGAAGCAGTTGACTTTTTCTATTTCTTTATGTTTCACATGAGACTTATGATGTTTTCATTCATGTATCAAAATGATATTGCACCTTGTATCCCACAGCTTTATTCCAATAAGGGATAAACATAAGTATTGTAAAGTTAATGTTTAACTGTAGCTAATAATAAGCGACGGCTTTGTAGCTTTCTCTTGACAGTTTTACTTCAGTTCTCTTTAACTGTACAGCAGATACAGATATTTAGAGGTACCTCCACATATCTTGTTTTATCAACTGTAGTGACCCAGGGACCGCTGAACCATGGACAATCTGTGAGCAGATACTTGATGTTTACTTTGAAATTTGAGCCTGTGGCACTTTTCCTTACAGTGTGTCCCTGTCTGTTGGCTAAATAGTCATGGAAAGATGTGTGAAGTAGAGCTTGCTTTTCCAAGCTGGAGGTTGCCTCTGTTTCCTGACAATCCTGGTTTTAGCTATATTCGTAATGTAGGGGTTCAGGTATACTGACAACCCTATTTTTTTTTACTGATCACCATGAATTGAATATACTGACCACCCTGGGTTCGGAGACTCAAGGGGTGCTTTGCAATATAAAAAAAAAGTTACGTGTATGTACCTCAAGATGTCGGCTTTGGGTTTTACCAGGGTTTACCTGATCAATACTTTGAACAGTAGTTGCGGTGAGCATGAGCATCAAGGGTATCTTCCGGTTTCCCATTACCAGCCTGTGTTTGAGGTACAAACACAAGTAAAAACACTTTACCATGTACATGTTATGTGTATATGCATGAAAACATGTTCATTGTCATTCATGTGCAATTGCTGTTTCATATGCTGTGTGTCCGACTGCTTTAAATGTATGTACAGTATTCAAAATTGCTAACATATTTCCCTTGGCCTTCAGCAGCACTTGCCTCTGGGTTTAAATGTGAAACGGCATGGCGTTTTGATCAGAAATACAAACATGTCTATACGTACATTGAAAGCTTATTTCCAAGTGCAATATTTTTTATGTTTTTGTTTTTTTCAGGAGGAATCCTCTGGTGAAATCACATTCTATATGAAAGGTGCTGATGCTGCCATGGCCAGCATTGTTCAGTATAATGACTGGTTAGAGGAGGAGGTAAGAGTAACTTCCTTGGATTTCTATAATCCTAACACTATACTTAAAAGAAAGTCTTTGAATAGAGGGTGAAGGGAGCATGACAGCACAACAGCCCTGGGTTTGTGAAGACACTACCTTCTTAGTAGACCCAGTGCACCCAAAGGCAAAAGGTGGATTGTAGACCAATTCTGATGCTGTTCATCTGAAATGCGTGAATCATTTTTGTCCTGCTGTGCTAGACAGTATTTTAGTCTTCTTCTCTGAACTAACCTGTTGTGTTGGCTTAATGCACCCCTCTCCCACAAACCATGGGTTGTCCCCACCTACTTAATTTACACTAGAGAGGATGCTGATGCTGTTTACAGAAAGTTGCAGTGCTCTTCTACTTTTTTTCATCACTCTACGCATTTTGGGGTTGAGGGTGAATTCTATCATCATATATGAATGCAATATATTGTTTAGAGAGGGGTAGGCAACCTCAGTTTCAACTTCATTTGTTGTGGAATGGCAAGTCCCATGCAGCATTACATGACTCTCACAGCCACAGACATGACTCCCATAGTAAGAGGCATGATGGGATTTGTGGTTTCACCACAGCTAGTTTGCCAAAGTTGCCTACCCCTGGTTTAGAGGTTGTTGTAGCTTTGGTCTGGCTTGGTACAGAATTGGGATCTGGGACCTGGTACTGATATATTTTAATATATGATACTAATTTTGGCATGGTTAAGCTGGCACTGATCATGACACTGGTACCAAGGCATTGACTCACATATATAAACTAGTGTTAACAACCTCCCACTGATTTTTGGGTTGTCTAGCTGCTATCTATGACATCAGTGACGCAGGACCGACATTGGGTGCTTGTTACCGAGAGCGGAATTGGTAACCTAGTACAGATTCTGATTCCCACATTGCATAGGAAGAATCAGACTCCGGCTCTCTAAAACGTTTCTTTAGAATAAATGAGGCCTGGACAGAAGTTGACAATAAACTTCCCATAGGATGCAAAACAGCTCTTTCACACCATATGCAGTGTGTTCCGGCACAGTTTACGTTGCACTATTTTTTGCGATTGTACCATGCGTACTTGTCTGCAGTGCCATTGGCATGATTGACACCACACGCCCCCTCCCGCCCCAGAAGAACCATGTGCCTGTTTTTAAGGATCTCATCGACAAAGGAGGAATGGACTAGGGCCATATGAAGAGATCCTGTTTCCTTCCAAATTGATCCCGTTTTTGGAGCATTTTGAACTCATGCCAGCAGCCCTAAGCTTCTGTGTGTATGGGTTGGTGGATAACTCGTGTCCTATATCCCATATAAAAACAAATATAGGAAATGCACAAATCAATTTCGAACAAGTTTTCAAAGTAGGGTTTTCTACAGTCCTAACATAAAAATTTCCCAGCACACATACCAGCTAGCATGCAGAAAAGCAAATTACACTGTCTAAAACATTGCATCAAAAGCACATATTTTGCAAAATATGTGCAAGGCACACTGCCTCATCAAGGCTCCTCTTTGCAGTGTGGTCTTATTTCCGCTCAGTTCATATCTTCCTACCTGCCTGTGTCACCACACAGATTAGCAGATCTCCATACATCCCTTGCAAGTCTTCTAGATCAGTGGTTTATCATCCCAGTTCCTAAAGCGGAAAGGTATCAGGAGTTCTACTCACAGTTCCCAAAACAAAAGGGGGTAATCTTCCCTATTTTGGATCTCAAGGCCTTAAATGTCTTCATTTGCATCTGCAAGTTCTCCGTGGAATCCACCAGGTCTGTCATAGCCTCCCTCCGTCAGGGAGACTTACTGGCATCTGTGGATAACAAGGATGCATACTTGCATGTCCCCATTAGTCCAGTGAATTAGTATTTCCTTCACTTTTCTGTAGGTCCCCAGCATTTCTAGTTTGTGGCCCTGTTATGCAGCCAGTTGTCATGCAGCCTAGTGGGCCTGTTAGCACTTTCCTGCATTAACCCCCCCCACACACACACACACACACACCCCAACAGCTGGACTTCTTTTGCATGTCCCAATTGCAATTAAAATTGGATTTTTGTACTTAATTGTAAAATACATTGCTTTTGTACAAAACTGGGGCATGTGGAGAGTGACTGGGCTGGTCACTGTTTACCAGTGTGCAAATACTCTGACAGGCATCAGTATAACTCAATTGTCTCCAAATTCTATGTTCTTCAATTAACTCCAAAAAATTGATTTTAAGAATGTGCTATTTTTATGCAGACTTGTTTTCTGTTGCATGCAACAGATTTGATAACCTACTGTCTCTTACATGTGGGAAGGGGCAGCACATTTTACTGCTGAATGTTCAGTTTCCTCTCACAAAAACATACATTTGGCTTTATTGGATTTCTTTAATGTTGCCATACTGTGTGTTGAAGTGTGGAATATGCATTATATTATGAGCATCATAAGGTCAGTAGAACTTATGTGAATGGTTCTATGTGATCTGTTAAATGCAGTTTACAACATACATTGAGGAGTGTTGGTACATTTTGGTAATATTTGCCTGTGGCACTTAATATCTTACTTACACCTCTGCCTACATGTGTAAAATTTCACTGTACATTCTATTCTCAGTGAATAGATGTCATTGTAGGTTCATCCCCAGTTCCCAATGTGTTTTGTTCACAGCTTGTTTGCAGGCTTTGTTAGCCTGCAATCATCTTAATCTAACCCTCTGTCCTGACAATATAATAATAGAGTGATCACCATGCATATGTTGATGATAGTATTGGCAATATAAATCAATGAACGCCGTAGGCCAGTTTCACTTAATCAGAGGCATGATTAAATTAAACTCCCTGAAGACTGAGCAAAATGTCATAAAAATTACTTTTAGCGATAATGATACATAATTAATTGTAAGAAAAAAATGTGCCCTTAATTTATTAAACAATATTAGGTTTAATCAATATACTGCTTTCACCAATTACATTTATTAAGCTTATGTATTTAGCTGACAGTTGATGGATAACAAAGTTACATAATTAATAGCTGGCTTCCACTGCTTATAATATGCAATGTTATATATACTCACTGTATATTTTAGGAGGTGTATGGGAGAAATGTGTATTTGTTGTAAGTTGGACACAAAATGCTGAATACTAAAATATGTTTTATTTTGACTTATGATTGGGTTCCCTCAACTGAGATTGTCAGGTTAAATGGAAATCTCTTTTGCCTGGGTCCCCTCCATGTTCTGGTCCTCACCTGCCACAGCTCCCTACAACCTGCTGCTGTTAACAATAATCAGCAGAATGAATCCAAATATCATCAGAATGGTTATCACTAGGGCTGCAGCTAACGATTCTTTTCATAATCGATTAGTTGCCCGATTATTTTTTCTACTAATCGATTCTCTCCCCCTCCCTCTCTCTCCCCACCTCCCTCTCTCTCCCCCTCCTTCCCTCTCTCTCTCCCCTTCCCCCCACAACTAACCGATAATGAGAACAGTTGCCAACTATTCTCATTATTCATTTCATCGATTAGTTGTTGCAGCCCTAGTTATCACTGAGAACCATTGTATTTCCTGGCTTTGCAGTACTACTAAATTTGATCCTCAAGTGACACTGCAGGTATATTGTTAAAAGGCAAACCTGGTGACTGATACTTCACAGTGTACTTCATTGCAAAAGACTGGCTGAATTGTAGTTTAGGATGCAGTGTAACAAAAGACTTTCTCACATATCCAAAGGTGTATTTATTTTAAAATTCTAATGAAAATAACTGCTAAACACTATGGAATGTACATTCATTTCTTTATTTCACCGTATATGAGTAGCCATTCTATACTGATCATTGAGATCGCTAGCAACCAGTCAGCTCTCTGCAGAAATCATCCTTTTTGTATTCAGGTGTTGGTGACACTGTTCATAGCAACCCATCAGATGTTCAGCTGCAACAAACTAACACTTGCATAAGATTACCTGAGTTGTACTGCATTAATTTTTTTGCAGTGTGGAAACATGGCGAGAGAAGGACTGCGTACTCTAGTAGTTGCCAAAAAATCATTGTCTGAAGAACAATATCAAGATTTTGAGGTATGAAAAAGACATTTAACCCTTTCAGTTGCATTAGTCACTTAAATATAATACTCATAATCATGGGGGATATGTTTGATTTAAAACATATGCAGTGTATTATTAAATAGTGGCGTGCTTAGAGACTTATTTATAAACCAGTCTGTCATTCCTGTGCATTTAACATTTGTTCTGTTTGCATCATTTAGCCAGGTTCCCGCCATCTCATAATTCATGTTATAGATATTCCTGCCATCTTGCTTACTCATAATGAAAATGGTGGCTATGATCTAATGACAATATGTCGGCAAAACATTGTGGTAGCAAGAAGTAACACAATTGAGGGCCTAGTCAGTAGTTTCTCAGCTGGTGGCATTTTTGTTGCCTGATAGTTAACAGGGGCTTTTCTGCCTGACAGAAAAATTCAGATTAATACTATAATGTCTGCATTCCTTAGGAATAATTCTCATGTAGATAAAATCCAAGTAGCCATTTTTTTGTTTTTGCAGAGTGTCCTGGCAATAGATTTTGATATGTATGCACCTTGGCATGTGTACATGGTAATCAATAGCTATTAATTTAATGGAGGTCAAGACTCTGAATTGGAGGTAGCCATAAAAATATGTCCATTATGCTTCAACTTAAAAAAAAAAACATCAGTGAGGACAAGAAACAACAGCAGATGTGCTTTTTTCTTTTTTTTTAATTTGTGATTACAAGTGCAAGAAGGCTCAGTGGCTGTAGCTTCTAAGAATCTGTAGTTACAACTGTATTATTGTATATAAATTCAGAAGGCACCCGCGATGCATGCTCAAATGTCTGTGATCACAAGGTTGTGGCATACATTTTTTAAAATGTTGGTGAATGCTTTCTCTCAGCAGCCTGTAGACCATCTTGGAAGGCACTCTTGGGAATCAAACCTAAAGGTTTTACATATCCAGCAGAAACTGGGATTACAAATTTACCGACACCATCTTTTAGGGCTGACATATTTTTTACTGTCACCAAACAAAGACTATACATGGCAAAAAATGTCACCAGCACATATTATTTGCTTTTGGTCTTGCTTCCTGCCACCCTTGCTAATCTGAAAAGTAATGATAGGAGCAGAGCAGTGATAGAGAAGTGCAAAAACTCTCCCTCTGCTGGCCTTACTACATTTATTTATCAGTGTATGTCCTAGCTATCACATTCAGTGGCTTGCAGGAAAGTTGTTCAGGAATAAGATATATATATATATGCTGAGCACAGGAAAGCAGAACTTTTATAAATATTGCAGTAATATAATATGAGTATATCTGAATATCTGTAAAGTTTAGTAGGTTTAGTCTAGAATAAAGTAGCAGGTGTGTATTTTATTATATTAAAATAAGAGTAACTCCAGGAAAGCCCACAATTTAACAAGTTAATTTCTACAAGACTTTTGTGGTTAAATTAAACTTTGTACATCAGAAATATGGATGAAAGTGGGAATAACGCAACCATCAGTTAGTCAAGGTGTATTGTCTTTTTATCGGTGTAATATTGATTTGATAAACATTTGCACAATTATTGCAGGGCCTACAAATTTAGTAGCACCATCTTTTTATTCTACTGGGCCTGCGCTTTCAGAAAATATATGGTTTTGGGCGTTTTTTTTTTACAAATGCAGCATTTGAAAAATCAAATCATTAGGAAAAATTGCAAAATGGTGTGGCCAGCTGAGGTGCAAAAAGTTCCGGAGGGCTTGGCAGCGAAAGGGTTAATGAAAGGGAACAGCTTTAATAATATATTCCAGTTCAGTGTCCTTTAATGAAGACAATTGTTACAATAAGCAATTGATTATTCGCCTTTGGAAATGTGTGATGGTAGAAAGAAATGTCACATTTAATGATTTACTTTATTTGGGTTATTTTACATACGTGGATATTTGATTTTGTCAGGACTGAGAAATGTGTCTAAAATTGTATCTTATGAAATGTCCTTTTGCTCAGAATCGATACAACCAAGCCAAGCTAAGTATCCATGACAGAAACCTAAAGGTGGCAGCTGTGGTAGAGAGTCTGGAGAGAGAGATGGAACTGCTTTGTTTAACTGGTGTTGAAGATCAACTCCAAGCTGATGTCAGGCCAACTCTGGAAATGCTGAGAAATGCAGGGATAAAGGTAAAGGCTCTGGAGTTTTATCCAGCACATAATCGTATTGTTCTAATCATATAGACATGGTAAAATCTGTATCATTTTGTGTGTTATGTGCATATATCTACAACTATTGTTATACTTTTTTTTTGTTTAGATTTGGATGCTCACGGGTGATAAACTGGAGACTGCAACTTGTATAGCAAAAAGTTCTCATCTAGTATCAAGAAATCAAGATATTCACATTTTTAGACCAGTAAGTTTTATAGTTGTAGGTTGCCACATATATTTTTAAAATTTTTTGGTCACATTCTTACCTATTCATTAAGGCAGGGCTCAAAATTTCAAGTCCTGAGCTACTAGCCAGGCCACCAGTTGCCCACCTAACCCCTACCCTGCCCCGGCCTTAACTCCGCCCCTAAACACACCCTCTTAAATAATCTTATGATAGTTCTTATCTTATGATAGTTGTAAACGGCAGATTAGGGATTCCTGCTTCAGGAAAACGCAAGTTCCTGACACAGGAATTTCTAATCACACCTGAAATATACTGTAGGTGTGAATGGGGCCTAATATACAGATACACTAAAGGTGGCCATACACTTTACAACCCTCACAAGACTATTGTCCTGTGAGGGTTGTAAAGTACTTTAAAAAACGTACGATTTGCCCATCTTGGACAGGTCAGATCGTACTTGCGATCATCGCAAGCCCCCCTCCCCTCCCCCCTCCGATGACTGCAATGAGGAGCGGGCTTCCAGCCTGCTTGTTCGATGGAAGATGTGCGACCGTACAATAGAAACAGTCGCACACCTTCCATACACTGCACGATTATCATACGATCACGGGATTTCCCGTGATTCTCGTACGAGAATCGTGCAGTGTATGGGCACCTTTAAGGTGATCCCGCGATCGTACGATAATCAGCAGGTGTATGGGCAGAGCGCGACCGCTTCTACTGTAAGGTCGTGCTGTGTGTGCTGGCGCACACTGCCTGCTCAGCACTACAAACATGATTGCAAGTACGATCTGCCTGTCCAAGATGGTACGAGATTTTAATGACCTTACAACCATCCCATAACGAAAGTCGTGCGACGGTTGTAAGGTGTAAAATGCAGAAACGTCACCAGCACACCAAATCCTTATAGGATCAAAGTTCGCAGATTTTATTGCAAACTCATGTCAGTTACACAAGCGCTTTCGGGGCATAATAACCTTAGTATAGTTCTTATATTATGATAGTTGTAAACGGCAGATTAGGGATTCCTGCTTCAGGAAAACGCAAGTTCCTGACACAGGAATTTCTAATCACACCTGAAATATACTGTAGGTGTGAATGGGGCCTAATATACAGATACACTAAAGGTGGCCATACACTTTACAACCCTCACAAGACTATTGTCCTGTGAGGGTTGTAAAGTACTTTAAAAAACGTACGATTTGCCCATCTTGGACAGGTCAGATCGTACTTGCGATCATCGCAAGCCCCCCTCCCCTCCCCCCTCCGATGACTGCAATGAGGAGCGGGCTTCCAGCCTGCTTGTTCGATGGAAGATGTGCGACCGTACAATAGAAACAGTCGCACACCTTCCATACACTGCACGATTATCATACGATCACGGGATTTCCCGTGATTCTCGTACGAGAATCGTGCAGTGTATGGGCACCTTTAAGGTGATCCCGCGATCGTACGATAATCAGCAGGTGTATGGGCAGAGCGCGACCGCTTCTACTGTAAGGTCGTGCTGTGTGTGCTGGCGCACACTGCCTGCTCAGCACTACAAACATGATTGCAAGTACGATCTGCCTGTCCAAGATGGTACGAGATTTTAATGACCTTACAACCATCCCATAACGAAAGTCGTGCGACGGTTGTAAGGTGTAAAATGCAGAAACGTCACCAGCACACCAAATCCTTATAGGATCAAAGTTCGCAGATTTTATTGCAAACTCATGTCAGTTACACAAGCGCTTTCGGGGCAATGATCACATAGTACCGGCTCGCGGCCGGAGTTGGTCCGCGGACCGGTACTTGGAGACCCAAATTTCCACTCGCCCTAACCCTTAATTTTTACTCGCTCAATGCGAGCAGGCGAGTGGAAATTTTGAGCCCTGCATTAAGGGACCTAGAAAGTCTTTAACCTTATTGTTATACTGCTATCTGCAGGCGCATGTGGGGGCAAAAGAAAAAAAAACAACTGTAGGCCAGCCCAGGATAACCCCCTCCTACTTCTAGCATGCCTTTGGTTTTTGCTAATGTCCTAGGAAGATAGATGTAGTTTCTTTAGCTCTGCTGTGTTATAGACTAACCCTTTTTTTGCTTAACGCTTCATCCGCATATAGGCTCATCCGCATATAGGGATATACGCTCCTCTAAGTCTCCTACTAGACCATGTAACTAGTCAGACGTTCTTACAGGGTAGACAGAGGATCAATTGCTAGGGAAAAGACAATTGGAGGGAGAGGACTGCCCTGTCTAGTTCCTCTAGTGAAGGGAAAAGAAGGGGTAATAGCCTTATTGACCCTAATCATACGAGGGCCAAAACCAAAGAGATGTAACACCCACCACAAATAAGGCCAATCCACACCATCAAATGCCTTCTGTGTATCAAGTGAGACAATGGCCCTTCCTTCCGTATGAGGGTGAGGATATTGTAGGTTATTAAAGAATCTACCAGTATTAATTCTAGTGGAATGTTCCGACAAAAAAACCTGATCACTGTTATTGAGGGAAGAGATATACTTGTTAATACGCAATACAAGGATCTTAGCCAGAATTTTGGCATCAGCATTAATGAGAGAAATAGGACGATAGGAATGACACCTAGTGGGGTCCTTACCCGACTTCAAAATTAATATTATAAGTGCCACACGAATAGACTGAGGGAGAGTACCCAAGTCATATCCTCAATAAAAATAGCTAATAAATGGGAACCTAATTGGTCCCTAAACTAGACATACCATTCCATAGGGAAGCCATCCAGCCCTGGTGTTTTCTTAGTAGGAAATCGAGATACTGCAAACTCCACCTCCTTCAGCGTAAGTGGTGAGTCCAAGTCCTCTCGTGCCTGAAGGGTAAGACGGGGAGGGGAACCTGAGATAAATAAGTTCCAAGATCTTCCTCCATGTAAGTGGCTCTGGAAGTATAAAGGTCTTCATAAAATGACAAGAAAGTTCCCGCTACATCATGCGGAGTGGTAAAAAGCTGACCCGAAGAAGTTTACCCGCTTTGTTACCAAACTCAAATATTTTTTGTTGAGTATACAATAACTTCTTTTTTGTACCCTCCAATAGGAACACTTCACATGCTTTTTTCCCCCTATCCAATCTCTGTAATTTATGCAGAAGGATCAGCCACATAGGCCATTTCAGCTAAGCCCACGGTGTGTTCATGTGACTTAGTTGCCGCCTCTCCACCCTTATGTTGAGCACCCACTACTGCCATAAAGGAACCCTGAAGTGTAGGCTTAAATGCCTCCCACTTGAAGGTAGAGGATGGCGTAGCCACATTATCATTCCAATAGTAAGTAATAACCTGTAAGCACGCATCCGTGACCACGGGATCCTGCAGTCATGCAAAGTTCATCCTCCACACTGGGGAAGAGAAGGAACCCCCCACTCCCCCCAGGATAATTCAAGCATCAAAGGGGCGTGATCAGATATGCCACATGGAAGGTAACGGGCATCAAATAATAACGGTAGTGTGGTTGAGGAACCAAAAGCTCGGTCTATTCTAGAGAGCGAATGATGTGTAGCTGAATGGCAAGAATAGACTCTAGATTCCAGATACTTCCACCTCCACAAATCAGTCAATTGAAAATTAGTTATCCAATCAGAGAAATTAGAAAAGGGGCACCCAACTGCTCCCAAGCGATCCAGAAAAGGGCTCTTGAGTTATTCCAACAATATATACACCCATCTCAGTTTTTTTTTAATCAACCGATATAACCAGTTATACATATCTTGTTACTACATGTTGATGCTTTGTGCATGTTCAAAACATCGCCATTTGCTTCTTTGTCATTGATCTCTATATTACCTGCGCAGAGTGTCTAACAAGACACCATGTTCTTTATTGCACACAAAGAAGAATTGCCAAATGGGAAATAATTAAGCACATAAAATATATGAGGACATGTTAGGTACTCAGTAGAATATTTTAAATAATAATTATTTTTAAGGAATCTCTGGGGAGGCAGCCATTTCGTATGCACTTTTAATTATAAAATCGTTTTATATCCCCAAATAAAAATGGTAAAGTTGTTAAGGCTTCTTTTGCCATCCTCTGATAAGACATATGTCTGTGTCTCATCTAAATGAAGCACTTTTCCGACAGAAATAATTATTAGAATATAATTTACATGTAAATGTAGTTTGTTGTGAAACATCAGAATAGCAGATTAGACCCTGCAGTCTGCTATTTGCAATTAAATTATTAATGCTTCTGATAAAACTTCAGATCAATTTTTGTTGACCTTTTCGTAAAGTAACACCACAAATTAAGTTTCTTGAAGAAAATCTATTTAGTTTGAGTTTTTCTATAGCTTATAATAAGAAGAGAGACTACAATTATGTTAATTTGCTGTGTTGGGTCTTTGAAATGAAATGCAGAGCTCTGATCGCTTCTCATTGGTTTTATAGTAGTGTTATAAGGATGTGTGCTAATCTTCTACAGTGTTCAGTATTGGTAATTAGTGCAATTAATGTTTCTTTATTTCTTATGGGCTACTGAAAGTGTATTTGCTTATAAAAATAATTTTATGACTCATTGGATGGATATCGGAACAACAGTAAATTTATAGATCCTGATCAACCAGAATATTGAGGTTATAGCAAGGGGTCAATTTACCCAAAACGGTTAAGCTCACTCACCTACTGTTCTAATTTAGCAGAATCTCCCCACCAAAATGTTGCCACTTTGGTTGGAAGCCTGTGTTAAAGCAAGGCATATGGCCCTGTGTATTCTCAGGAAGCCTTTCTGAACTCACACACACACTTTCTGAAATTAACTTTGGCCATACACTCCTTTGGCAGGTCCATTGGCTATTAGACAGACATTTTATAAATAGTAAGATGTTGAAGAGAGGAGCTCGTACCAACGTCCAAATCAGAACTTAAGTTGGAGTCCATGTAAGCCATGCACCTGAGCTCACAATGGGGGGATGCACGCAAGATGCTTTAGAACAGTTTAGGCTGTATTCAAACCCCGTGCCTTGTGTTTAGCATTTATGAAACACACCTACATTGATATGTGTTTTTTATGTTGCTGTCCTTTTTTTTGACAGCAGAATCATAGTACTCTATTTTGTATTTACATTGCAGCTCATTGCGCCGTGTTGCAGTATAGTACATTGCGTTTAAATGCAACATGTCCTAATTTCACTCAGTAATGCAGCATGTTGGCATGAGATGGAAACATTGAAAACAATGTATTTGTTCTTGTTATTGCATTGATCAACGCTGCCCCGTGCAGTCCAGCGGTATGTGCAACCTTCCCACAGTGCCTGTTTATTTGGCCTGCTGTTTAATATTGTTTTCCCTGCACATGTTCACTTTCAGTACAAAGTAGCTGCTTGTATTTGGGACCAGTACAAAGGTCCCAGATACAAGCAAGATTTGAACAAACACTCATCACTCAACAGAGGCTTGAATTTAGAAGTGGAAACTGTAGCATAGAGGCCAGTCTACAACAGCACCGTGTTAGGTTTTCATTTGGTGTGGCTTGTAATGTCTTTGACCAAGGGCTTCAGTGTTAAGAGATGTTATGTTTGTATGCATGTTCTCTTACCTTTGACAGCTGTATATTCTGCAGGGGTAGAGTGTGTGTGTAGGAGGACATGACGCAGATTCACATGTATAAACTCTAGGTACCACACAAAGGCACAAAAAATGGGGGGGGGGGGCAGGGAGAACAAATCAATTTGGTTGCAAGTGGATTGACTCAGCTAAAAGTCTCAGATTGTCTAACCCAACCCAAATTGAAAGGGTACAGAATGTTTTACTGAACAGTAATGTCATAATAACCATGTTTTTACATTTTTGAAGCCTTTTTTTCTTTCTTTGATTGTAAAACAGTTGTCTTTATATTTATTGGGCACTATTTTGCAGTTATACATATTCCACAAAATGTGTTTTGGAAAAGACCAAAACTAATTTTGTTTTTATTAAAGGTAAGTAATCGAAGTGAAGCTCACTTGGAACTTAACGCTTTCCGAAGAAAACACGACTGTGCCTTGGTAATAGCTGGAGATTCTCTTGAGGTAAGATTATGTAAGGAAAGATATGCAGGCAGCATATATTGTATGCAGATATAATATGTCCTAAAGCTTCTGGATTCAAATAGAATTAATATGACACTCTTTCAGCACACGCCTCCATGATCCAAAAAGTAGAAAATGTTCCAAACAACTGTTCCAAATACTGGTTGCACTATTAAACATAAACTCATACTTCCATATCTGCCAGCCCTAATACACCCAAACCAAGCAAGATTAGCTCCCAGCAATGAAGCCAAATACAATGCCCTCAAAGCTATAAACCACCCATGCAAAAACTCCACTTTTACTTCTCTCCAACAATGCTGAAAAAGCCTTTGATAGAGTAATTACCAGGGCTGACTGGTAATTTATACATGGGACACTCCCCCGTATTAGGCCAGGGCTGAATATGCTCAACTGGATTCACAAGATCTGCTCCACTCCTTCGACAGCAGTAAAAAGGAATGTCTTTGACATTACCAACAGTGACGAGGCCCTCTCATTTTTGTCCTGACCATAGAATCCCTCTTGTGCACCATATGCAAATCCCCCAGGTATCTATGGCCTGAACAACAAACGATCGGGTTACCACAAAGTAGCAGGCTACACACATGACCTGCTCTTCTTCTTCTCTAACATTTTATTATACTTCCCAATGAATTTAAAAAAAAATGAAGAAAACAAAGCATTTTGTTCACTGCAAAATCCAGTCATTTATCAGTGGTAGGTATCGGTTATGATTGGTTGCTGTGGCATATGACATCTCTTTTTACTCTACCATTTTGATGAAGCCCAGCGGTTCTGCCTTCTGCTTTCCATCAAGTCTTTAAAGACAGCATGTTGAAAGTATATTAAATGTTGTGTCTCTCTGCATTCTCTAGGTGTGTTTGAAGTATTATGAGCATGAATTTGTTGAACTTGCCTACCAGTGTCCTGCTGTTGTGTGCTGCCGGTGTTCACCAACACAGAAAGCTCAGATTGTAAAGCTCTTACAGCAACACACAGGAAAACGCACATGTGCAATAGGTGAGGCAGTATTACCAGTGTCGTTTTGATAGGACCACCTCATGCATTGTTATGTAAGCTAAAGCTTAATATTTTATAATGTGCCCTGTACAAAATTGTGAGTAAAAGAGAAAATATAAATTTTATGATTTCTGCCTGAGCTATTTAATCTAATGTGTATTCAAGTCCATTCACATCCTTGCACATAATGTAACTTGCACTTTCACATGCTCTAATGAGTACTAAGCAATAATAAGCATTTCTTACCATTTTTATTTTTTTTAAATCTATGCTAAGATGCTTTTATGAAAGGTTGTAATAAACTCAAAGTTGATGTCCAGCCAAAACTGCTTATATTTTCCTTTTGTATATAGTGGGGAAGCCATAGAACCCCTGTTTAATTTTTACTGCTATCCAGCGATCCGTTAAATCTCCCCTCACTTACTGTCCTGTCCACAATTTCCCCAGACAGGAGAGGGTAAATCCCAGCAGGTCAGGCAGAAATATAAATGTTTTTTTTATTATTATTGTTATTGTTATTAGCAGTAGTAAAGTAGCTGTAGACTAAAAACCCTGTGATCTTTTTATTGCTGTCCCCGCTGCAGATGAAACCATGGCCACCAGGACAGAAACTGAGAGTAGATGGCCCTATAGCTGTAAAAACCTGAATTCTGTAAATATACACCACATGGCCCAAAATTTTTGAGATATCTGGGCAGAAATTATTATTCCGCAATTGTTTTACCAAGTTTAGTAAATATATACCAAAATTTTAATTTATTTTGCAACCAAAAAACTCACATAACAAACAAAAAGAAAAGGGCATGAAAAAAACACAGATAAGCAAAAGGTTTTCCTGGCACATGCAACACAGTACATATAAATGCATTTTGACTGTCCCTGCAGTACAAAATGTGCATTACCCTGCAGCTGAACACACAGATGTGAATGGTACCTTAGTACCTTACTGAATAAAGCCACTCATAGAGATGTACATGAGCAGTCCCAAACCTTTGTCAGCTTCCACATTCAAAACACAAGTGGTGTTCAAAAGAAATTTTAATATAGCGTGTTAAAAAAACCGGCAAAAAAATAATCCAAGCTATATTGTGTATAAAATAAAATTGACTAGGTTTACGTTTACAGAAAGTGTCTGCACTGCAGATGATTGGATCAATAGGATCTCAGGCCTGTATAGATAGCAGAAGAGATCCACATGTGGTTCCTGGACTTCTGATGCATTTGACTTGTATGACTGGAAAGGGTTGTGTGAACGCATGGCTTTCCTGTCCTTCTGCAGATATTACAGATGTTACTTATGTAATGACACTTTATTTGTGCAGGGGATGGAGGTAATGATGTGAGCATGATCCAAGCAGCTGACTGTGGGATTGGCATAGAAGGAAAGGTAATATTATTTTGTTTCAATATTCTGTTGACATGCAGACTATCAAGTTTGTTTGTTAGCATCTCCCCTTCAATTTATTTTTTGGGTGGAGTTGAAGTTTGACCTGGTCTGTTATGTGCTCTGGTGCATAGATCAACCCTAACATCTAACAAGGCAATTGTAGGCTAAGCTTGGATTATGCAGAATACATGATAGAGAAAATCAAAGGACATTTGTGTTGCCATCTATCGGATTCTCCCTTGGTGTATATTGGATAGTTACAGTAATTAGGCTGACAAGCCTGCATGGGTCTCATTTATATAACCTGACAGAACCTGAAAGCACGTGTCTGCATACCCTCAGTGAAATATTGCAACCCAGAAGTAAATTGTTAATAAAAAATGTAGCCACTGAAACCAACCCAAATAAAGTTGTAGAATTGTTTGCTGTGGCCAGCAGCTCTTTGGGGCTTGTCAGAGGTGATCGAATCAGTACGTCATGTACAATTGTAACTTGGCTGAAAAGATGAGTTCAGTTACAATTGCTCTGTCCCCCATCAGAGTCCCAGTTTTATCCCACCATGCACAATAGACATTTTAGTTGGATTTAAAGAGAAACTAATGGTTTTGGGTCAGTTTTATTTTAATTGCTTAAAGTTTATATGTTATTAGGATCAGTGACGTGCGGTACCTCTTGCTCGGGTGAAGCATTCCCCAGCCGCGCCCCCTGCCGGCCGAAGCTCTGCCTCCTGCCAGCCAAGCTCTGCCCCCCGCCGGATGAAGCCCCGCCTCCAACCCATCCCCAAGCTAGTGTAAAGGAGGAAGGGAGGAGCCTCCCTGTCCCTCACTTGCTCCTCACCGCTGAGGCTCCGTGACAGGTTACACAGTGGGGAGGATTTCCCTGATGTGTAACCTGTTAGATGCCGATCTGAATGGAGAAAAAGCTGTGAGCTTCAGGCATGAAGCTCACAGCTTTTTCCTCCATAATTCTAGGTGAGGCTCTGCCTCCCCTGACCGCATGTCCCTGGTTAGGATGTTTTATATCATATATAATATAATAGACAGAACACAAAGCTTGTATTGCAGCTCTCTTTGTCTAATAGTAACCTGGGTCTGAGGCATCTGATATAATTCACTGCTGGGAATGCTGATGCAAAAGAATACCTACTAGATAGAAAATCTTGAGGCAGCCTTATAAACCCTGAGTGACTTATAAAGGTTCAAATGTATATTGAGTTGAAAGGTGCTAGTTTAGACTATGGTGAGTTCCAGGGACAGCCTTAAGAAGGAGAAAATAGGGTGCTGATTCAATATTGTGCTAGTAATTAATTGTATTTATTGTTTTATTGCAGGAGGGAAAACAGGCTTCCCTTGCAGCTGACTTTTCCATCACCCAGTTTAAGCACATTGGCAGACTTCTGATGGTACACGGACGGAACAGTTATAAAAGATCAGCAGCACTGGGACAGTTTGTCATGCACAGGGGCCTTATTATTTCCACTATGCAGGTAATATCTGGAGTGCAGTGCAAATCATAGTTACATAAATCTTCAAGGAACCCTTGAAATCATTCTCAGGTCTCCATGAACTCCTGCTAGTAATTACTATATCGATACCTCACGGTAGATTAGCATGACTAGCAAGCCGAGCAGTTTGTGTACTTTGCATATTTGACACTTTGAGCTGCTCTTTAAAACGACATTATTTTCAGTAAGTGTAAATATAATCAAATAATTATTAATGGCTAGAAGAAGAAAAAATGCAGACAATGGAAATTCCCTGGTCAGTGAAGAAGAGACCGGTTACAATGCTGGACAGTGGTGAGGTGCCTCCTTAGAATGGTGGTCAGTGAAATGCTCCTTTAAATTGTAGGTCAGCAAAGTACTCACTTACATTGGGGGTCAGTGGAGAAGGGCCCCCTTAGATTGGTGGCCAGCGGGAGAAGGACCTCATTATACTGGTGGTCATTGAAAGAAGGACTCTTTAAACTGATGGTCATTAGGAAGAATAAGGCTAAAGTACAAAAAAACTTTTTGAATGTCCACACAATAAAATGTGTGGAGATTAACGTCAGTCATGTGAACAGAAAATCCTTGTTTACCTATTTTATCTGCACATGACTGGATAACTGAAGTAAATATTCACACACCTTTCACACATTCTTAGATCCTTCAGTGAATCGTGAGAAGAATGCTCCTTACATTGGTAGTCAATAGAAAGATCCCCCCTTACAGATACAGTAACTAAAAAGATAATTGGTGTCAGTTGAAATTGCTCTTCGCTGCAGGGATCCCCTAGCAACCTCTGGAGGAACCCTAGTTAAGAAAGGCTGATATAGGATGTCCATGTTGGCCCATGACACCAAATGAGTCACTAAGGTTTTAGTGCACCGTCTATACTACTTACAGCAAGCTGTTAACTAATTCCTAAGAGCAGTGGCTTTCTCTTGACTGTCTCAAAATTGTCTCAAAAAACTAGAGTACTAGAGTCATACTTTCATTTATTAGCAATTTTCAAGCTACTGTCACTAGATAGATGCTGCATCGCCTGTTTTCCAATACTGATCTTGCAAAGTAAAAGATAAACCTCTATATACAGAATGAAACAAATCTTGTCATTGTTATGCCACAATTGTGCATTGAATTACCTGACATATTTTGACAGAATAGTATATGAATTACAACATCAAATTAAATCTATCTGAAAATATTGTTTATTTGGAGATCAGTGACCTAGCACTGAAAATGCTAAATGTATTCATTTTTCATCTCTTGCTTCCTTTTAAGGCTGTGTTTTCCTCAGTATTCTATTTCGCATCTGTTCCTTTGTACCAGGGATTCCTAATGGTAGGGTAAGTAAAAACTAGTATTTAGTTGGTGACAACGTGGTAACAAAACTATTTTTGTTTGATTACATCAGGGCCAAGATCAGTTGGTTGCCTTTTAATTATGTCTAAAGGAAAATGTTATAATTAGTTTTTCCCATATTATTCATGCACTAATAGTTAACATGGCGAGGGAGCAAAAAAATAATGTCCTTTTAAAAAAACAACAACAGATATTTTCAGGCAAATGAAAGTAATTGACACTGCAGGGGCTGACTGGCTGCTATTCAACTGTGTATCCACACCAGGTACATGGTGGTTTTCTCATTGACAGTAATGATGAAGCAGCCAAGTAACAGGCATGCGAAGTACTGATGGAAGAGTCGCGAAATAATCATTTGCTGTACATGTTTGCGTTGTAATTGTATCTCATCAAGAATGTTGGAGAAATGCAGTAATTCATAAATTGCAACCTACCCCTGGCGGCTCTCCTTGCTGCCTCCACAGCAGGGCTCTCCTTTCACGCAGTTATACCGTGACATTTGCAGTGTTCTCATGACTCAATTCACCACAACACTCTGTACCAAGATCTTTATAGAGTAGTGGCTACTAGCTGTACTTAAACAAAGAGATCCATGCTATAGTGCAGTTTATTTTAGTGGTTACATCAATTGTGATACGTTGTCACCACAAGAAGCTTACCATATAGAGTACACAATTTTTGCTGGTAGACTGAGACCTTCTTTCTCACCCGAGTCCTAGTGGAAAGAAATTATGTTAGCACTCATATATTAATAGATACATTATTTTAATACAGCTGATCATTTAATCATTTTCCCAAGGTATGCAACAATCTACACAATGTTTCCTGTGTTCTCATTGGTGCTGGATCAAGATGTAAAACCAGAAACTGCCCTACTCTACCCGGAGCTGTATAAAGACCTCACAAAGGTAACCCATGAAGTCCCTAAAACATACAAGAAAAGGAAATTGTTTACTGTTATGTACTTATATTCAACAAGGTTATGCATACACAGGACAGGCTTTGTGAAAACAAAATACTACATACTATTTTATTATTTTAACACTGATTATATTTGTTTTGAGAACATCATATAAATGTGGAATTTGAGCAGAATCAATGGAGCAATTGGTTATACATTTATGTGATTTTTAATAGATAGATGCTGTGCTGCTTCTGACTTTGAAGTAGTTTTTCATAGCTGATTGTTCAGTTTTATGAATTAGGGAACAGTGAACATAATGAGTGGATGGCAACACTATATTGTAATTATGTGGTATGTGCTCTTTGTAAAGTCATGCTTATATATTATATATTTTAAAACAAAATCGCGTAGCTAAATGTGTTGTCCACTATTCCACTATTTGCAGTTTTCCACTACGGTAGTTGTAATCTGGTTGCTATTCACATCTCCAGTTTTCTCATGATTCCTCATCATTTCATCATCATGTGTCCGGTGGATTGGTGTCTGCTCGGACAGTTACTTAGAGAATACAGTTCTTATTGTTCATCCACAATGAAGAAAAATATATGACATGCTTAAAGGCAATATAGAATGTTTTATATATTTATTATGTTCAGGAATAATAAAAAAAACTAATACTAGTACTAATACTAGTCAGCAGGTGTTGTTCTAAACTTCTTTTTACATGTGCTTTGCTGCATATTGTTTGCAGACCTAGAATGACCTGCAATACCAATGTCATGGGTGCACCTTGTATTCATTTTTTGAAAAAGCTTTTTGTTTAGAAAAGATTTATATATATTAAAACCATCTTTGTTCTCCTTTTATGCTTTCTTGGGTATCAGATAATATTTTTCTATTCAAGGTTTATTCATTGATTTATTTCAATAATATTATGAGAGAGAAAAGTAAACTTTGTATGTACTCCGATTGTGACCAGTCATTACTATTAGCGCAATCCTGTTTCTTTAACGTTCCCTTTTTTTCTTCACAGGGAAGATCCTTGTCGTTTAAAACCTTCCTCATCTGGGTTTTAATCAGCATATACCAAGGTAAGAGAGACTCATTTAGGCAGACGAAAGGATTTTTGTCTGCCATTATTGTTTCCCTTCCAGGTTTGCTTCCGCCAGCTTAAAATTTTATCAACAGTCATATATTGCTTTGTTTTTATCAGGTAAATCGATAGTCCGGCAGTGCGCCCTGCCAATGTGCAGTGCATGATGGGTGATTGGTATTTGTATTGATGCACGTCACTTAAAATCAGTGCTGTTTTTAATTAAAGCTTTATCCTGTAAAATTATTAACTTTTTCTTCTCATATTGCACATGGTTCAGTCTGTGCTAAAATTAGGGCCAGGTTTGCAAAGCATGTTTTCATGACTTTGCAGAATGTCTTTTTTTGCTGCATAGAGCAGTTTTTTTATTTGGATTGGCAACATCTACTATACAGTTATGGTTTAAATAGGAACTCCAAGCAATAGAAAATCACCCTATAGTCTGGCTATGCATTCATTAAAAATAAATCGAATGTACTTTTAAATACTACATATATACTGTAAGTACCCGAAATATATTTTATTATATGATCTCTTGCATGGCAAAAACCAGTCAGAATATATTGTGTGGCACATGCTGTCAATCTTTTCAACCTGTGCAGGTTGGAAAGAGAAATGTTTAGGTAACTATAGGAGATATATACAATTCAAGAGAAGAATGTTAGGAGGGCCCTGTGATTGGGCGGACACATGAAAGAATTCATCTTTGACTGAATGCTCATTGGTATTCCAAGCAGAAGGTTGCAATAATTATTATCATTATACAGGATTTATATAGCTCCAACAGTTTGCGCAGCGCTTTACAATATAAGGAAGACATTACAATCACAATACAATTCAAGACAAGATGGTAAGGAGTAGTAAAACAACTTACTTACTGTTTGTAGCTGTTTGTCTGGATTTCAAATTAAATCTGAACTCCAAGCAAACATAAAAGACACAAATTAATTCAGCTTTGTATTCATAAATAATCACTGCATTAATTTTTAACTGCAAACAGTCTTAGTAACTGGATTTGACGTGGTATCAGCCTCTTGCAATCTATAGTATGGCAGAGCTCATACTGGAAGTGGGAGAAGCAGGACAAGAAGCCAGTCAGTTGTGGTGTAGTGCTTATAGACTAACAAGGAGCATGCTGATAGAAGGAGAAAACAGAGGGACAGAGAGATGAGCTTATCAGCCTGCGGTTTTTCTTCAGTGTCCAGTCATAGGCTGGTGATGTCCAAGTTGTATTACTTAACTGCAATAGAGAAAAATCAGGTCTCAGGACTGGGTGTGGACAAAAACTGAAATCCTTTGCCAGTTAAAACGGCTTGCATGTATGTGTTTAGCTGTTTACCTAGATTCCTCATAATACTTTTACTATGTATTGTAAACTGAAAGCATTTAGTATATCTCAAAGTTCTTTTAATATCTGTTTCTAGATCTATTTAATAATTTATCTTACAAATATATTTATCACTGAATGAAACAATAAGGACAAAAGACTGTGAATTTTGTCTTTGTGTTTTGTTTGCTTCGTATTCATGCTAACTGCAGACATTAAATCTAGTTTGGATTCTACACAGACCGGTTGATGATACCTGTGTATATTCGGATGAGTCACAAAAACTATGATTTACCTGGATAGTATCATATTCATCCAATCTGTTCATCTCTATTTCATTATCTATGTGAATTTTGTCTGTGTTTTTAATTGTTACTGCATGTTATGTTATGTTGAAATATCACACTCTTCAAAAACAATATGTTAAAGTGACATGAAACTCTGGAGTTAAATCTTAAAAATGCATTTAAGTACCCTAACTATTAACAAAAATGTATCTTATTTGTGTATCACTCGACTGTAGATCCTCAAATCATCTCTGAATTGGTGCTGACACTGTCGTTCCTTCTGGAGGGTGGCTACTTTTGTTCCCCATGTTCCCAGTGTGTGTTGTAAAGTAGCCAAAGCTCCAAGCTCACTCCTGTGACGGACTACAATCTCATGTTTATTTTACTCATTTGTATTGAGATTGTAGTCTATCACAGGAGCGAGATTGGAGTGGTGGCTACTTTAAAACACATACAGGGACCATGGGGAACAAAAGTAGTCACCCTCCAGAAGGAAGGACAGTGTCAGCATGAATTCAGAGATGATTTGAGGATCTACAGCTGCTTGATATACAAATGATGTAGTTTTGTTAAAGGAGAACTATGGGGTTAAGGCTTTTCCCCATAGTTCTCCTTAGGGTAACGGGAGGACACAAACTAGCGTCCTCCTGTCACCCTATGCTCAGTATACCGTGAGCTGCAGCTCGCGGTATACTGAGACGCCACAGTATACTGCGAGCTACTGCTCGTGGTATACTGAGATGCCGCAGCTGAAGCGGATCCCGACAATTATGTCTGGATCCGCCCAGCTGCGTGAGTGACAGCTGGCTCTGCCTATCTAGAGGCAGAGCCAGCTGTACCCTCCCCCGTCCGTTCCGCCAGTCAGCGATGGGGGATCGGGGCGGGAAGGGGGGAATCCAGCTCCTCCCCTTCACGGCAGAGAGCTGTGACAGGAACGAGAGGTGAGCGAACGCCGGTATGTGTTCGCTCACTTCCCGATCTACTGAGCCGACCTCTGACAGTCTCATTGTCACAGGTCGGCTAGAACTATGAGGTGAGTGAAAAGCACTCGCCTCATGGTTCTCCTTTAATAGTTAAGGTGCTTGAATGCATTTTAAAGATTTAACTCCTGCGTTTAGTGTCACTAGCGAAGTGCAGTGCTTTTCCTAAAACCTCCTATACAGTAATGTGGCTAATTAGAGCAACAGTGCAAGAACAAATGCAACATATATTGTTATAGTATCTGGAGTAAACAAAAAAATAAACTTCATATGTGAACGATAATTAATATGAAACGTCAATTGTTTGACCCTACTCTGTGTTTCAAGCTGCTGATTCTCAGTCTTTTTATTTGTATCATAAATGGCATACCCAAAAGTAAAGCTTAGTTTAACTTCTGTTGTGTCATTCCACATCCATTCCTTGAACTGTGACAACAGTGCAAATGTTCTTCATTGTGACCCTATCCACTTTGAAATTCCACACCAATTCATATACTGCACACCTTTCCCCACAGACCACAACTAATGTATTACCACCAGCAGGGGCTGCCCCCAGGGCTGTGCAATGTTGTTTTTTTTTGCCTATATATAACAATTTATGTTGTATTTGTTTTGCACTGTTGCACCAATTATCCACGGTATAGGAGATTTTAGGGATAGCACTGCACTTTCTTAAACATGTTGTTTTTGAAGAGTGCGATATTCATATTTAGTGCTGGCGGCTTAGTTAGAAGGACACAGATCCCAGCGCAAAAAGTATTTGTTTACTGATATTATGTCAAGATATGACTAAAAGCCACTGACAATAATAGTACAAGCATTGCACTTGGTAGGGCTTTGCACTTACACTTTGTGCCCATATGCAAATATAGATGCTGATAACTGTATTCTAAAACAATAACTAAAATATTCCTGAGGGATCTTAAGAGCTCTTCCAGGCATTTTTTGAATGTTAAGCAATAACTATTGTGCATGTCACCCAATGGCTTACAAGTGTAATTATTAATGTTTTTTCTGTAGGTGGCATATTGATGTATGGAGCGCTGCTACTGTTTGAGTCGGAATTTGTACATGTGGTAGCCATCTCCTTCACTGCCTTGATACTGACAGAATTGCTCATGGTCGCATTAACAATAAGGACATGGCACTGGTTAATGGTTGTTGCTGAATTTTTCAGCCTGGGCTGCTATATGGCTTCACTCGCGTTCCTCAATGAGTACTTCGGCAAGTATTCTCCTATATTATGTTATTAATGAAGAGTTTTTTGTGATTCGTAGAATTAAATCAAATCTTTAAAAAAAATCCTCTGACTTACAGTAGATTCCAAAATATTTGGTTAGCTGGTCTACTCATTTAAAGATATAAATTTATATAAGTGGAACGTTAGAATATCAAATGTATCCTTGGTCGTAGAATGACTGAAGGCTCCCAGCTCACCCCTTCTTTTTCTTTTTATATTTCAGCTTTGTTACTAACCTACATTTAATACTTGTACGTTTTGTAAATGAGCTGTGCATGTACACTCTCTATTTTCATCACTGTTTTAAGCCATAATCTTAATTCTTGGTTGTGGTTGGGTAAAAAACAAGTCATTGCTGTGAAGCAGTGGGCTTCAACTGCCAAAACATGTCTAGCTGACATTTTTATAATGTGGGCTAAAAATAAAAGAAAGGACTTGCATATGCACAAATGCCTGTATATTTAGATTACATGTAAATGGCGGAACACAAAACTACAAACACATAAAGAGAGTTAAATACAATTATTTTAGAGAGACCTTGTCATGATGAGAAAAAAAACAAAACAAAGCCACCCTGTAAAAAAACTTGTTTTATACTCACCTCTTAGCAGGTGGTTTGTTAAATCTTCACTCTTTTAAACCCTTAGTGACTGAGGCCTTTTGTTTTTCGTTTTTGCACCCATGATATAATCCACATTTTAGGCCTGAAAATTACTTCAACTCCCCACACATTATATATTTTCTGCAGGCTGAGATCCTGTAGAATAAAATGTTGGCATTTATGTTGCACGATATTAGCGCAACGTATTATCAAACCCCCAAATGTAGCAAAATGCCCCAAAACACAATAAAATACCCATTTGTTTTATACAATATAAAAGGTGATGTTACAATGAGTAAATAGATACCCAACATGCCCAGGTTAAAAATTGTGTGCATCCATGAAACTGCGACAAAATTCAGTACCCCAAAAAGTCCATAGATGACGCTTTAAACGCCCCCACAGGTCATCAGTTTAGAGATACGCATAAATATTGGCCTTAGAATTATTTTCTCACTCTGGCGAGCATGGCGATACTCAACATGTATAGCGCGATTGTCGTTTTCATATGTAGGCGCACCCGACCCGTGTTTACGTGGGACTTTAAAAAAATATGTTTTATTATTTTTACTTTTATTTCATTTAACTAGTTGCCGTCCGCCTGTAGAAAAAAAAACGGACGAACGCCTGTCTCGGTTGTATGGTGTGATTTTACTTATCCAAAGACATTAGGGAGCTGGGCACCAGGATACACGACATTGAATACAAGGTGGACGACATTGTCACAGTAATCGACTCTCATGAAGAAGATCTACACAATGTAAAATCTGACCTTTCCACCGCCCTGTTTGAGCCCCATTCTGACCCACACCTTCTTCCTATGGGACTCCACTAGATATTCCAGTAACTTACAGTCCCCGCACCTCCCGCTACTCACTATATTAGGTAACCCTCTGTTCCCCCCGGGACTAGACTCCCCACGGGCATTCACATGGTGGGCTTCCACAGGACTGACATACCTCTATGATCTGCTAGACGGCGGATCGGTCCGCCGTTGGGAATATTTCAGGGACAGGAAGGGAGCACCGCTCGCCGAACATTTCAGATACCTTCAAATTCGACATTGGGCCAAATCAGCACTCACACCAACTCCACCTCGGGCAGGCCTAACAGTATTTGAGCATACCTGTAAACGCGACCCACTCAGTCCTAAACTGGTCTCGCTGATCTACTCCCCTACGTGGGGAAATGGGAGAGGGACCTCTGAACATCACAACCACCAGAGAAATGGCAGCAAATTTGGTCCTCAATGGCCACCTGCTCAATCAACATCTCCTCAGCGGAAACGGCCTTCAAATCCCTCACACGATGGTACTTGGTACCGTCCAGATTAGCCCGTCTCCATCCTTCGCATTCATCTTCTTGCTTTAGGGGATGCTCATCAGTAGGTGATGTCCTCCATACGTGGTGGACCTGCCCCATGCTTGCCAGGTTTTGGTCAAGAGTCTTCCGTATGCTAGAAAAACTGTTCTCAATACAGCTCCGCAAGGACCCTTGGCTGGCCTTACTGCACTTTAAGTCTCCGCTCCTCACAAAAAACCAACACCGCCTAGCCACACACGTCCTGCTGGCGGCTAAACAAACCATTGCCTCGGCGTGGAAAAAGCAATTTGTACCCTTTGGGGAAGTCACGCGGCGTGGTAAACGCGGTGGGGATAATGTCGGGGGGGGTAACTGTTAACTTGCCCGGAAAAGCGATCGGGCGACAGCTGAGACGGCTGATTGCTTCTATTGTAAAGCCGAAAGTCGGCTTTACAATTGTAAATACTGTAGAGTCCCGGCGGGAGTCTGTTTAAACGGGTCCGGTGCTAGTGACGTACTATGGATGTCACTGGTCACTAAGGGGTTAAAGAGCTCTGGGCGCCGCTGCTGTCCGACACTTCTGGATGTGTCAGGTAGTGTGTCCCAAACTGGCTGCTGTGGTTAAATAGTTGAATGGTCAAAAGCAGCATACATATTTATTGTTAAAAGTTAAATGTAACTAGAATGGGTTCTAAAGAATCTCAGTGGTGCAGTAATGGGCAAATATGTGGGCCACCCTTTGACTTGTCATCCTATGAAGAAGCAAGTTAAGATTAGATAGTTGTATGCACTGTGACTCTTTTGGTTTCTTCCACTTACAAATCAGAGATTTAGATGCATAGAAAAACAGTAGGCATAAAATATTTTAGAATGTATAACATAGGTTCCTGGGTTTTTGTTAAGTTAAAAAAAAAAGAATGAAACAAAAGCGATCAGAAGAAATCTAGGTATCTAAACGGTCAGATTTGTCAAGGCTCACATATTGAGACTTAAATACACATACATACAAACACACACAGCTCATGGCATTAAGGATTTGACCCCCTCCGCGGACTCACCCAAGAATGCTGCAGAGAGCATGGCATCGCGCCACTCATAATAACATAATGGGGCTCTCTACAGCATTTAGGATTAACCCAAGTAGAGGGCGAAGAAGACTTGTGACATTATCTGACCTAGCCGAAGATACCTGTAAAACAAGGTAAGTATACATATTTGTTTTTTTATGTGTGCAGATGTTTCTGAGAATAACTGCCTAAGAAATTGTAAATATCCTTTTTTGGCAGTAACAATTGAGCCAACGCAAATTGGAAAGTCATAATATCGGAAAAGGTTGGGGCAAAATTTTCAAAGAAATGTTTTTTTTATTTTCTTGAATACCCAGGAGACCACTTGTATACTCACATTTTTTTGATAGCGTGTTATGAACTACAAAAGTTGTGATTGCTTTCCAGACTATTTGGATCTTATGACAGCTCTATTATATGTGATGGAGTATCATGTACATGTACAACATTTATCAGCAGGTACTCTGTTCTTCTTGCATCCCCATTAGAGTTCTTCCTGGAGCTTTTCAGTCTTCTATGGCTTTATTTTCATGATCCTCATGTTGTTTTTAAAGTAATGCCAGACAGTATCTTATAAAGTAAAATGGAAAGCATGTTGTTTAGGGGTAAGGATTGCTCCAGATGAAAAAATAAATTGCCTGGACTTCCACTATATTTTTCAAAAAGAGTACTCTAGAAGTACTGTACATATAGATGAGCAAATAATAGTTTTGCATTCGGGTCCAGAAATCCTGTCCCTGTAGTCATAGTTAAGTCATAGTTTAGCAAACAAAAGTTTGAGTAGAATTGAATATATGTGATACTGTGGAATGCCAGATAGCATATGTAAGGCTAGATATGACACCGACTACAGGAAAATGTGTAATATTTGGAGAATGATCTAGAGAGCAGCAGTATCCTCCAGGGAGATATCTCTATCTATGCTGCTAATTTCAATCCTACGTCTGTGTTAATTGCTTGCTTTTTAACTATTTTAGTTTCTTCTTGCTTCTTATACTTTATCTCTTACTTCAGGTCTTGGTAGAGTGTCATTGGGAGCTTTCTTAGGTAGGTGCTATGAAAATGTTCATCAGCTCTTCTGCTACCTAGATGGCAATATTAAGTATATTCTATGTTTATAGAGTTCTATTGAAGTTATATGGCTCTTCTGTATTACATATTTCACCCACACATAGTGAATTGCCAGGGTTAAATACTGTATCCGATAATTGTGTTATAGAATGTGTTATACTTCAAAAGGAACCTGTGCTGTGGGAAATAGGCAGGTGGTCATTGTTTATAGCTACTTGGTTGTCTTGGTTATAGTCATTAATCCCAAAAAAATACGGATCAGGAGTTCTGACTTCACTTGATAGTTTAAGAAACAAAGTATTTCATAAAGCACTACACGAATTCCAATCCCTGTTAAGCTGATGAGGATAGCAACGATAACCCTTAGAGATACAAGTAGTAAAGTGAAAGCACAAGGAGCGAGGCAGAGAGATGTCCTGTTGTCTATGTTGTTGAATTTAAAGCAAACCCATAATTTATCAATGCAAATGAAAACCAGAGAAGTTACAATTCTGTTATCAGAAGTCACTGACCCAAAAATTATCAGAATTACATCAGCATGGCAAGAGCAAGGAGCTGCAAGGGAGCAAAAGTAAGGTTAGTACAAGAGAATTGGTGGGCCAGAACCAAAGCTAGGGGACGTTAATTTTCCAGTCACATGACTGGCTGCTAAGCCTGAGCACTGTCATGGGGGAGCAGGTTACATGCTCCCCCATACCTGGAAGTGTGGGGTATTCTCGTTGGTTAGGAAGGAACAAGAAGCTTTAAGGGAGTGATGGTAAGGTGTGTGTATAAAGAGGCTGTGGGGCCTTTGTAGAGACACCTTCACTTTGCCCTGCATGGTCAAGGGGATAGTGTCTCTTTAATGAATTCACAGTGGAGCAACATTCTTGTGCAAAAAGTAGCTAAGTGTTAGTGGATCTTCATTCATGTGCAGTTATCATTCTTATTGTTAAGTGCCCTCCTATATTTTACTTACAATATCAAAACATTTTAACAATACCCAGAAGCCAGATAGCCAGTGTAGCCAAAATCTGGGGTCTAACTTCATGTGGAATAGAATTTTGAATAGAAAATGTTCTTGGGCTCCTTCAAATTGCCCCCTGTTTCCTGCTGCTGCTTACCTACCTCTCTGTGTTTCCTAATAATACATTCCATTCTTTCAGGGCCTTAGACAATCCTCTCAAACCTGCACGTCATCATATCTTACCTTATGTACTAATACAAGTTCTGCTCCTCTAAAGTTCTGGTCATCTATTAGGGGGATTTGCCACAGAAGAACACATATTTGTTATATATGAGTTAATTGATGCATCTCCTTGGTACATGTTCGTGTTTGATGATGTCAGTAGCAAAGACAAGCGCTATTTCAGAAGAATTAATCAGTAAAAGGCCAATGTTACTGAACACAGTCATACGATATTTGGTAGGCTTAATTTAATGCGTTCTGTGTATACCTTTCCTAAAGATGTTACCTGACTTTCCTAAAGATGTTAGCACACTCCTAGTTTTGTATGTTGTTATGTTTCTAAGCATAGAAGTCATTAGAGTCACCTTTTTCTGTGGGGTGGACTGGTCAGATGAATCTGCATGAAAGTTTTTTCCTTCCTTCCTATCATGCAAAAGTAAATAAAAACAAACAACTAATAATACATAAGTAAGTATGTGTTCCCAAGGAGATGCAGTTCCACTCACCTTTCTGCTGCAATATGTTTATGACAGTGTTGCATGTACGTCATTGTCAGAGAAGTGTTATAGGTGTCACCGTTCTTTTTCATGCTCACAGATTTTATGAGCTTGAAAAATAACAGTGATCCGTAAAATATTGGTCTGGCAATGCCGTGAAAGTGAGCAGTGCTGCATCTACTTGGGAACACACACACATACACACTCTGCAATTTCAACCCAAGCAGTTTCTTTATCCTACATTGACTTACCTGTAACTTTTAGAATTGCTGAAATGATTTCTGTTTTCTTTAACAGATGTGGCTTTCATTGCCACCTTGGCCTTCCTGTGGAAAGTATCAGCGATTACTGTTGTAAGTTGTCTTCCCCTCTACATTCTGAAGTACTTGAAGCGCAAATTCTCTCCTCCAAGTTACTCTAAGCTTTCGTCATAGTCTCTAACCTGTGAGTACTAAAGCGTGCCACTACAGCCGTGACATGCCACATGCTGCCTCGCTGTGTTCTAGTGACTTCAGCCTTATGAATGAGTGACAGGAGGGGCCACAGAGAAGCAAGAGCACAAATGGCAGGCGTTTTCTTTCTGCAAGACAGAATGAGTAGATGTTATCACTGATATAAGTCAGTCAAGAAGATTCCTTTGGTTCTGATGTCTCATTTATTAGGTATGACAACTTGACATTGCCATATTTTTTCTCTTTTTTCCATTCCTTGAAGTTGCCATAAAACACCTCCACCCAAATTGATGTACATGTTTTATTCCCTTGTATGCTGCTATATTTCTGTGTATAAACTTTGAGAAAACTGCACTAGACATACATAAAAGAATGAAATTGTTCTAAAAGGGAATGTAATTGTTATATTACACCCTGTCCGAAATGAAGACAAGCTTTAAACCTGCTGGAAGGTTAATGGGCTCCTAATCTGGGTGCATATAAGATAGGGGCCTTAGATTGTAAGCTCCTTGAGGGCAGGGACTGATGTGAATGAGTAGTATGTAAAGCACTGTGTACATTGAAAATAAAATAGAAAATAAATAATGTGCGCAGTACCCACCTACACTCTCTATGAACCTGTCTATGTGGGTTCATGATTTGTTTATTAGAATGCAGCCTAGTGAATTGGGAACTGGTGACATCATCAGCAATTTCTACCATATTCCAGATATATATATATATATATCATAATGTCATGACTCAGCCTTGTCACTGGTTCAGTTTGATTGGCAAAGCCTCATCTTCATTCATTATTGTTTCTACCCTCCAAGTGGTCTGTGTATATGAGATAAATGCACTGTAATGGTTTGTTCAGATAACTGTTTGATATGTTCCTTTCACATCACAGGAGACTTGTCATTAGTACATCATTCTAAGGAGAGCTTTGCATGTATGCTTATGCAGTAACGCACATATGTGTGCATGTTTTTACATGCTTTATTGTACACATGTAACACATGTAATTGGAAGTCCCCCTTACCTTGTAGTCAAAGTGCATGATAACACACACAGTCGTGCCCCCCAATTGATTTTTGTGGGCTTTCCTAACGTGTTACTACAGAATATTTATGCAGTGACACTTTTTCCTCACAGTGATCTGAACATCCTATATAGACATCAGTTCAAGCCTATCTAAACCCAAAACCAGAAATGTTATACATTGCAGTTGATCAGTCCTTAGATATGGTGGCCACATTAGGTTTCTTTTTTCAGGCCATTTATTCTTTTTATTCACCTGGGGATCCAGCCAGTAACACATTTCCTTGCCTAGCGTGACAACGCTCACTCATTTCACTGTATCTATGGAGGAGCAGCATTGTGTCCCTAGGGTACTTTCCTGATGTGGACTACTAACACCTCCTCCCCCTCTCCTTATCTCCATTACATAGGGGAGAGGGGTGGTTGAGGTTAACAAAACATATCTGGAAAGGCTAATAAGATTGTTTTGAGATATCAGTTCATTGCACACACAGGAAGTTACAAGAATGCTGGAATTCTTCCAAGATCACCAGAACTTTTCCTGTACTTGCAGAAAATGTCCTTACCTGAAAAAGGAAACTCATGTAACCACCATATCTAAAAAGGGAAGCGGCAATATATTCCATTTATGTTTTTAGGATTAGATCTCCTCCAACGTTTTGCTTGTCTCTCCTTGTATCTGTGGTAGAAAAACATTTGTTATAGCGCAGGCAAACTCAAAGAAAACATGACAAGGCCTTGAGGTCTCTGATTTGAGTGCCTGCTTGCCTGCGCTGTGACACCGGTGACCAAAGGAATCCGATACAGTCTAATCTGCATGTTGTATTTGGGAACCACAAGGCCTATAAGCCGTTGATGAATAGCACATTCCGGCACAAAGCATCGTTATTAGTGCACTGTGTATGTGTTTGCTTTGTCCTGATTGCCACATTGGTGAAATACAACTAAACACTCTTCTGAAAAGCCTTAAAAACTGGTTTTACTAAGGTCTCCTGCCCAATACAAAAAATGTTGTCCTGAGATGTTTATAAAAGTGGACCTGACATTTCACAACAAGCCACTTAGAGCAATCTACTGTACTGATTTTAAGCATTATAATGAACCTAAGTATTCCCTTCATTTCATAAAAAATACAATAAAGTGTAAATATGGCATTATTCTGGAGATAACACATCAACAGGTACTGTCTCCCCTACAAGCGGAATGTAATCTGTCTGCATGTTACATATTTATATATCTGTAATCACTAAAAAAGGAGAAGTCTGTAGTCCGAATCGGCCGATTGCTCTTCCCACACAATGGCTTTACTTACACTTAGGAAATGTCCATCCAATGTGCCCAACACATCTAAACAAAAAGGTATTCTATATCAAATATACAGCTAATAGCATTCATAAGGATGTATGGAAAAGTTACCTTATCTACACAGCAGCACGTGGATAGATGAGAGTGCCATCAATAAAAGTACACTTACCTATACTGACTGGTCCTTCTGACCTAAACTACCCAACCTTCCACCCAGGCGCCTACTTACCTCAGAAGGACAGCCACGGCCTGCTCTGATTTTTACATCCTTGGATTGAAATCTTTCTTACTGGTGGCAGCCAACCATCATAGACTTGTATAGGACCATCTTCCATCCATCTGCTCTGGAGAGAAGGTCCTATATGAGTGTGTGAGGCCTCATTGGGAATGTGCAGCCAGAGGGGGAGAGGATGTAAACTTTGAAACAGCCTCATTGCTGTCCTTCTGAGGTAAGTAAGCAGCTATGGATGCTTTACAATCATTGTGTAGCTTTTTTTAAAGAATCCTGTACTGCAAGAAACGTGGAGGATGCTATCGCTGCTCACTGTCTCTGGACACAGGATAGATGCATCTAGTGACAGTGATCTATATAAAACTGTATTACATGCGGACTGCCACTTACAGATGCGGCCGCTGTCACCCAGTCATTAACTTGAACAGATGACAGCGGCCGCATCTAAATGGGATTCCTGGCATAGGAAATCCTAGGTTCCTGTCACAAATTGCCTTGTGTGAATGAAGCCTTAGAGTAATTGTTTCAGAATAAGCATGCAGATCCATTTGATTTTACTGTCACCTCATTTGCTTCATACATTGTCTCAGCTCAGTGGCTCAGGCAGCCAGGCAACTAGCATTTTTAGGAGGCCAGGAATGGCAGCCTACATATATTTCTCAGCACTGGCTTCATGCATATATGGTAAGTAAATATAGCTCCCCTCTTGTGTATATATAGAAACTATTCATGAGCACACAGACAGGATTATTTAGGGCAAACCTCTTTCACTTATATATCTAAACACAACAGTAACAATGACTCCAGTTTCCCCTTTAAAGTTATTAAAACGCTTTATATAAAGAAACCTATAATTTGTTCAGTGGCTTTCTACTATTTAATGACAGGTCCACTTTATGCCTCAGGAAACCTAGTTGGAACAGTTTAGAGAATGCACCATATTCTCCCCCCAGAGCCGGTAATATTTCATTTACATTGTAACTTGCCAGGTGATATTTGTACATACATGTAAATGACTGTATAGCTCACAAAGATGTCCCCACTCGGGGTCTGTGATTATAGTCAGCACAGTGCGACATGGAGGCGTCCATTCCTCAACAAGATCATACACTGGATTTCTGTCACTGGTTACTTGCCTTGTAATTTGCTTACTTTGGTTACTCAGGTAAATAAAGATGCGACGCTCTAATATTTATTATTGTTATGTTTGAACAATCCTTTATCTTCCATTGTAACTGCTCTTCTTACAAATCCATTTCTACCTTTTGTTTTGTATAAACTTTATTAGACTTTTTATTCTTTGTAGCAGGTTAGTTTAACACACATTGGAGTACGGTCGTACTTGTATACATAGGAACGTTTGGTTCCTTTCTCACTGTGGTAAATAAAATATTAGACTTGACATTGTCAGGCAAACCTTGCAGACTTCATTTAGCCAAGTTTATATAGAAGAGATACGAGAGATACGAGATCCCTAAATGGCACTAAAGATACTAGTAATGCTGTAAACTTTGCTATTTTAACTACATGACTCGTGATATCCCTATGATTAACCTCAAATAGGTTCAATGTAAATGTGCCGATGAAAACATCTATGATTTTAAAGCCTGGGGCAGCATATTTATCTTTGATTTGTTCCTTATGCTCTTCATTTAAAATACTGTATATCTTTGTTATAAAAGCAATAAAGTCTAATTTCTACCAGATTGATCTCCTTGTGTTCTATAAAACATGAATGGCTCTGGAAAATGAATACAGAAATACGCGTGCTGTGTTATAGGATAGAAAACAAACCTTAGTACACCGTTTTATCCACTTGGTGGTGCTGCTGTCTTTTGTTTTAGACATTTAAGAGCATGTGTTGGGCAAGATTAATATGACTGATTTCGGTGGCTTATTTATGTACCCGCAGGAATAAATGAACACATTTTATTGGGGGAAAACAGTTTACTTCAACCTCAGATCCATGATAATACAGAAGTCACTTGTCACTGCAATACAGATGCCCCCCCCCCCCCCCTGCCTCTTATCCCCCCTTTCTCAACCAGGGTGCCTTCTGGCTTTGTTAGAGCTACCTTTGTTTAAGAGGGGGCTCTGATGTGAAGAAGGGGAGGGCTTTTGATGTGAAAGGAGGGACTCTCGTGTGAAGGGAGCGCTTCTGATGTGAAAGGGGGGCTCCTGATGTAAAGGAGGGATTCTTGTGTGAAAGGGGGGCTTCTGATATGAAGGAGGGCTTCTAATGTGAAAGGGGGGCTCCCAATGTAAACGAGGGATTCGTATGTGAAAGGGGGGCTTCTGATATGAAGGAGGGCTTCTAATGTGAAAGGGGGGCTCCCAATGTAAACAAGAGATTCTTATGTGAAGGGGGGCTTCTGATATGAAGGAAGGCTTCTGATATGAAGGAGGGCTTCTAATGTGAAAGGAGGGCCTTTGGTGTGAAGGGAAAGCTTCTAATGTGAAAGGGGAGCTCCCAATGTAAACGAGGGATTCTTATGTGAAAGGGGGGCTTCTGATATGAAGGAGGGCTTCTAATATGAAAAGGGGGGCTCCCAATGTAAAGGAGGGATTCTTATGTGAAAGCGGGCTCCTGATTTGAAGGACGGCTTCTGGTGTGAAGGGAGAGCTTCTGATGTGAAAGCCAGGCTCCCGAAGTAAAGGAGGGCTTCTTATGTGAAAGGGGTCTCCTGATATGAAGGAGGGCTTCTCTGAGTACATAGTGTATTGTGATTGGTTGCTATGCGTAGAAGCACTTAAGAATTAGCACGTAAAGCCCAACTCTGTGGTAATGTTTAAAAAAAACAACGCACTGGAAGTTAAAAAGGAGCGTTGACTGCAATATTCATCCTGAAAGCTGAACCCCA